GCGCCGTCTTTTGCCACAGTCTTCTTTCGCTATGACAAAAACTGAATTTGATTCGATTTTTATAATTTTATTTTGTGAAATGGATGATGAAGCTAACCGCAACGGAGAAAAATATCTTGCTTGTATGCTGTACTTGTATTTTATGTAGGTATATTCATTCAACTTGCTGTACACTTGAAACATACACTGAACTGCTCTGGTTATTAGATGATATTCTTTTCTATACATTAAGTATATGGTTTATCTTTGCTGTAGCCTACCAAAAAAGGTGTTTTTTCTTCACGTTTTTTTTTAAATCTTAATTTTTATTGTACTATTTTGTTCAGACACTTTTTTTTCTTCTCTTTGGAATTTAAAGAATAGCTCGTTTATGTAGTATTTGAACCGTGTGGTAGTTTGAAATCGATTGAGTATTTTTTTCTCTAGAAAACAGTTTTCTCGATCAGAAATGCATGACGAGCTATTCTAAAAATTTTTTTCGTTATATTATCATTTTATTCCTTTCAAATTCTTTGATTCTTGAACATTTTTCGAGGAAAAAAAATTTGTTGAACAGAGCTTATATTTCATCTCAGGAACGCGCGTGTAGGAGGTAAGATGCACCTGACCGCTTTTTGCCAAAAATCACAAAAAAAAAATGTTACAAAACAAACCAACCAAACGCTTTATAGCTGAAGATTTGCAAACAAACAACCCATTTATTATTATTTTGTACTTGTTTTAATCGCTTAATATGACTTTTAATTTTCTTTTCGTTTCTTTTCTTTTTAGCATCCACAAACTCTAACCATTTATTATTTTTTTCTTACACTAATCAATTTTCTTTCTTTCATAATTGGTCCCCATAACTAAATGCTTCTTTTTTAGTTACCATTGTTTTTGATTTAATTTAATATAAAATGAGAAATAATAACTTTTATTCCCCAGCTTGTTTGTGTATTTTCAGAAAACCCGCAAAAAAAAAACATTCAATGACAAATAAAATAATTCAATTCATTTTTCCCTCGAACAAATAAAACTAATCAAATAAAACCGATAACGCTATAATGTTCTGGAGACAGATGCACCGCTTTCGTTGATTTGTTGATGGATATACCAAAAAAACGTTTTGTGTGTTTTTTTTGGGAAATAAAATGCAAAGAAAGCAATAATTAATTTTAACATAAATGTGGAATGCCAATAGAACGTGTGTCATTTTAAAATCGTAATAGAACCAGCTTTAATTGATGTATACAATTTGCCCATTTATTCTTAATGTATAATGCTGTGCTTTTCTTTATGTTTACGCATATAATCAGTTGTGCCATTGTTTTCTCTTGTATTTGAATGGAAACGTGTTCTTTTTTTTGTTTCAAATTTGGTTTGCATTCGATTGTATTGCGCTAGTCATTGAAATTGCCGAAATCGATGAGCGATTCTCTTTTTTCGTATTGAAAAATGTGGTTTCATTTGTTTTGGCTCGTGCTTTTATTGTCAATTTCACTTCTAATGCTTAAAATTTCATTTGATTTATATCTTATTTTGTGCTTTTTTTTCTTCCTGTGAATGAAATTTGATGCAATGTTTGAAAACCGCTTCAATTTTTTTTGTAATCGCTGAATATTTGATGCCTCAACATCGATCAAATAAAAGAGATTAGAATTATATTTCGAGCTATGTAAATATTATGTGTTAAGCATTAATCACAGTCACATACATCCTCTTCGAATTTCGGGAGAGATATCATTCGAGTACCGGGCTTTTTTTTATTGCATAAATGGCATTTAGATTTGTGTTCTTGCTTATTATGAGCCAATTTAAAAGAACCATTTTGAAAATGTTCGCGCGAGCTGAGTTTGCAGTTAAATTCCACACAAAACATTTCGCCAACACAATCGCTTGCTACGGTATTCCCACTGTGTGTGCGCGCGCGCTCTCTTCAAACACTGCTTTAAAAAGAAAACAAGAACATATGAATAAGAAGTTGCTTCCGCTTGAATAATGAAAATACCTATGCTGTCCGGGCTTTTTATGAATCCGTCTTCTTTCGTGCTATAAAAAATAAAACCATGTGTGAGTAAGAAAACCTATATGCGCCGTGCCTATCCTGCGTCTATCCCGCACTCTAGTCGTCAATGGAATTTCGCTAAAAACAATCATATACGTTGTTTCATTTTGTTTTTATTCAAATTTATGTTGGTTCCATATTTTATAAGCATAAACAAAGGTAATGTGTTTAGATAATTGTATATTTAGTTAAATATTGTACATTCATAAAAAAATTTTTATTCAATATAAATAAGTAGTTTATTTGTTTGTGATGTGCACGATGTCATTTTGTTTTTGGTTAAATTATTTCAATCCCCGAATGCTTTTCAACTAACAAAACCGATTGAAATCGTGCCCAGAGCAGGGAGCAAAATACGATTTTATACGACATTAATTTTATATTTACAAAATCATTTTTTGAATTTAAGTGAATCAAATCATTTTTATACGTGATGATATTATTATTGAACAGATCAGCAGTGAAATTCAAATGATCAACAGATATAGTCAATGAATCGATGTCAGATGATGCGATTCATTGTTCATATATAAATGTGTGCATGTTATGCAAAAGCTTCGATTACACAGGCCACCCTGTTCTTCTATTTCTCCTATATAAGTCAAACAATTTAAAAAAAAAACAACAACAGCTCTTATAAATCGATATATATCTATAAATCAAGAAATGAACATTTTTTTAAACAAAACCAATAACTAAAACACTAAAACAGTTTAGAACTAAGTTTCAATGCCACAAATGGAATATATTTTTTAAAAGGAAAAACAAAAATCACTTCACATTTATTACGCACACAGAGAAAGACACAGAAACACCATACACAATACACAGACACATTTATACCGAAACACACGTTGTTGTGATTGAGGAAAAACACACACATATTTACACCAACAAAAAACAAAATGCGCTTATCGAAAATAGCAATGCAAAATTAATTTGTTTCTTTTTTTTTTGTTCACTCTTTATTTAAAACAAACAAAAAATTTCCAATTTATTTCCAGATCGCCCACAAGTAATTCCATGTCTTTTGTATTACACAGTAGTTCGAATATCTTCATCCAACCCGCCCAACAACTATGTTTAACTTCCCCTCTTCTACACAGATTTTTGTTGTACATAATCAAAACTAGCCAAACTAGACTTCTTAATCCCGTTCAAACATACAAAATCGAACACACTACCACACGCACACAAACAATCAAAAACAAAAACAAAAAACCAAACAAAATACTGCATTTTTCAACTCAAAATCAAACCAAACCAAAATTAACTAAAGAAAGCGCCCAGACACACTCTTCTTCACCATCATCCCACAAGACAATGAAAGAATAGGATTCTCAATGAAACACAAACAAAAACCACACGATTCCCGTTTGGTCAGGACAAATTATTCAAATGCCGCCACATTCAATGGCTCGCTCGTTACCGTGTTACACAGACATGCCTCAAACAATTAGACAAGAATTTCCAAAACAAATTCAATCACAATCATAAATCAATCAATATATCCCCGAAACAAAACTCCTAAAACCGTTATTGATGTGGTAAGTTTTCAATTAAAAAAAAAAAGACAAATTTAAGTTTAAACAAAAAAAAAAAAAACAGAATATTATTTCAATTTATGCCTATTTAGTTTTACGATTTATAATTTTCATTTTTCGTTTGAGTTGGCTAGCCTTAATCTAAGAACCCTATGCTTAGATTAGTTGGAAAATACAAATTTTTATTTTCGGTTATTGTTATTTCATTTAATGAATTGAACGATTTCGAAATATTAGAAAAAACCAACAAAACCCCGTCGATAGATTCATTCTCGATTGACCAACAAATTCCAATAGTCTATCTAAATACGCTTTTGTTTACGACCGTTTTCAAATACATGCAAATAGTGTTCGGAAACAAAATGTTTTCATTCCTATCACCATACATATATTTTTTGCCGAAGAGAATTAACCCCTTTTTTGAAAAGAAAAAAAAATTAAACAAATATAAAAAAAACTGCTTTGCTGTCGTTGATTTGTGGCCATATCTGATCTGTGTGTATACCTATATATTACTTGTTGCGTGCGTGCATTTTGATTTTCGTGTTTTCCATTTATGGTTTTTCTTATCTCATCTTGCGATAATTTTCAGTTGTTTTTTTTTTCAATTTTTGGTTTTTGTGTAGCTTTGAAACGTCGTGAAAGAGATGAAAATGATGCTTAGTACACAAACATTTTTATTGCTACCAATGATCATTTACGACTTGGTACTAGTGTGTGTTCAACAAATGATTTATTTTCTGTTGGTTTGGATTAGAGCTACGATTATATAATTTATAGAATGGTAGAAAACGAGTGTTTATGACCAGAATTTTAAGCAGCAAACAACCAAACAACAAAAAAAAATTCCAACCATTTACACTTAACTATTTAGCCAATGTGTCGCTGCTGATCTGTTCAGTTGATTCATATTATCATTTTGTGCATTTTCGTTGCGATATTACAGTGGAGCAAAAAGCAAAAAAAAAAAAATAGAGAATGGCGATTCCATTCATATCCAGTGGAAATGATATTTGTTTTTTAAGTGTTTTATTTTAATTATATTAAGCATGGTCTGTTTGATGTGAAATGTTTTTCATTTGCTACATAATTTTTGTTCTGTCTTTTTTTTCTTCTTTTTTTTCATGCATACATGTTAAATATATTTCTTTGGTTCATACTCTTTCGATTGATAAACAAAAATCGTATCGGCATTCAATACAAACAAACGATTTTTTTTTACCCACAAACACACAAAAATTAACAACAAAAAAAAAACACTCACACACAATTTTCAATTAAAAATACATACAAACAAATAAAAACTTCATGGCCACCGCATGTGTATATTTTTGGTTTATGATGGTGCAGCAAATGTACCCTCAAATGCTCCTTTCGTTATCTACACTGATGCCAACGGACAGGTATAATTAAATATAAATTGCTTAACTTGTTAATGTTTGATTTTATTGTTATATTAGCGTTATGTGTATATTGCGTTTTGGCCAAAAATCGCATTTGCCGTAGAGTTTGTGTGTGTGCGTGTGCGTGCTTTTCGAATCATTCCTTGGCTGTTTTCAAATTGCGAAAAAACCGGACGCTCGAAAATCTTCACTTCCGTCGCTCCAAAATGATGCGTCGTCGTTCACAGCAGGGTGAATTGAATATTAAATTATTTTTGCCATCATGTTGCGAAACCGACGGCTTTGAACATTTTCACTGTGTCACACACACACACACAAAATCCAGTTCCGAAATACAAAATCAAAACACACTGTCTGACATTTATTTTCTGACTATGGTAAAACGCAATAGTTTCTCTCATGTTTGTTGTTGTTGTTTCAACGAAAATTTGCCACAGTCAGAATTTTGAAATGTCAGACAGATTTTAAAGCCAACGCTTTGTATGAGCTAATGCAATTCGGATTTTATTCACAAACATTTATCGCTGAGCAAAACGAATCCTTATGTCCAGAGAAGTAACGAAGCATATATTTTTTTTAGTGGCCATCACATTTATACGCAGACACACACACACATACACAAATATACACATAAAAATACCCCATAGATCGCCAGTGTTTGAATGAAGTGTTTTATAGCATTTAAGCCAAAGAAAGAAAAAAAAATAAGAGAACGAAAAATAAGAACGCTTTTTCATCTCGTAAACTCCATTCTCGGTTTGAACATGGACGACCTAATGAATGTGTTCAAATTAGTGTAATAAGCACATATTCAACGTGACTGCCGTGTGTTTTTTTTTTTCGTTAGTGTAAGCCAGATAATTTCTGCTTTTTGAACTTTATACGTTAGAATAACACGCTTTTACATTTAGCTAACCGTTTTCTTTTTATTTCGTTTGAATTTTTCCGCTGATGATGCTTTTCGCTGCTGTTGTTGTTGTTACTGCTGCTGCTGCTACTGCAATTGAATACTAATGCACCGAGAAATCAATTGTGATGAGATCGAAAAGAGAAACTAAACGAGCTTTTGCCCAGCGAAGCTTTTCGCGATGGAGCTTTTTTCATTAAAGGTTCATATTTTACATTCATCAGCGTTTGGTTTTTGATGAGAAAGCGACTTTCGGTGGCAAATATAGTTTATATTCTCCTTTCGAACACATCGAAATACTGATTCAAAAGTTGTAAAAGCTTGTGCCTAAAATTACAAAAGACATGCTTAACGCTTTACTTTAATTTGTGTTGTTTTTGAAACTGCTTTGCTTCTTTTTCGTTGTTCATTTGCTTTTTGGCTTTGCGTTTGCTTTTCACGTGTGTCACTTTCTAACCGCCGCTAATAACGGGATTTGCACAAACAAAAACCAATTGTTTTATGTTGTCTGCCGCATTTTTATTGCCAATACAAAATATTGTTGATTTTTTTTTGTTTACAATTTGGTGTGACATTTTCTTCTTGGGCAATTTCAAAAATGAAAACAGCCTTTTTCAGTTTATTTCTGTTCATTTTTTTTCTTGTTTTTAATATCCTGGTTAGTTATCCAAAGATAGACGAAGCGAATTTATCCGCAATAAAGTGCTAATAATAAAAAAAAATAAAAAAAAAGAATTTCTAGGAGCGCCAAAGCAATAATTAAAAATAAAAAAAAATAAAAGCAAAAACAATGGGGTGCTTTTTTTTGTTTCAAATAAACTTTGCTGTAATATACCTCATGTGATTACATCATGTTAAATGAACGAAAGAGAGAGAGGGAGATAAAAAACGAAAAAAGAAAAACATAACTGAGAAATATAAGTCGAAAAACATTTGTGGATAGTTTTTGTTTTGGTTAAAGAACACTTGTTTAGCGTATATACCAAAAGTTTCAAAACCAGTTTGTTCTTTTTTTTTGAAACGCAAATAGTTTTGCATAATAATTAACACCACAATTCAAGTGTATTCTTTTATATATATACATATACAATTGTCGTTACCATTCCTATTTTTTACCACCCCATAAAATACAAAAAACAAACAAAAAGCCTCCCCCCAGACACAAGTATAATATATATTTTTGGATTTTATTGCTACAAATGTATAATCACATTTAGTCTGTTTTTTTTTATTCTGACATGATGGTTATTTATTGTGTATATGTGTTCTAATGAGAATTTTTCTTGGTTTTCTCTTTCCTCTTTCCCCCACCCAAAACAAATCACCGACACCATTTTTTTCCACCATTGCGTATTTTTCATTTGGGATTTTGTTGATTGGGATGCGTGCAGTTACTGGACACCCTCCCGGTGTGCCAAGATTTTAATCGATCCATGTGTAATCGGCCAACATGTCGTTTTGTTCATCTAACTGAAGGTAAGCATCCATTTTTACAATGTTATTAAATTATTTATCAAGCCATAAGCCGTAAAATGATGACTAATTGACCTTTTTATTTGATCTCCTTTTTTCACATTTACCAGCTGATAAAGTTGAGGTAATCGATCATCGTGTAGCTGTTTGTCGCGATCATGCCAAAGATGCATGCAAACGTCAACAGTGTAAATATTATCACATACCGATTGCTGTGCCACCAGCTCATGTTATGGCCAATTTACATAAAAGAGATCCAACAACGACATCGTTAACCGCCATCACATCGACCATACTGCAGACCACAGCCGATGTTGCATTAAACCAACGAAACATCGAACACATTAATTCAACAGCAACCACAACTGTTACAGAATCAGCTCTAAACGAACGACATGGTCCATCGATACGATCACATCGATCGGCAACACAAACACACTGAACAAGAGAAAATGTTTAAAGAAAAGAAGAAAAAAAAATACACACACAATGGAACAATACTTATTTTCATTTTATGGTGTCCATTGTCCTTCGGACCGTGTGTATTGAATCATTTGCGGAGCATTTAATTTCTCCAATCATTAATTTTCCCATGTTTTTTTTTTGGTAAATAAACATCGATATATGACAAAACAAATAAAAGTCAACTGAATTTGAGAAGAAGAAAAAAAGCTTCATTTTCACACCAAAAAATTTAACGAAAACGGATCAAATATGTTATGCTCTTCAATAAAAGAAAAAAAATTGTCTGTCTCGATAGAGAATCCTTCTTAAATTAAAATACTATAACAAATTAATTTAAATTATGTATTGTAATTTATAAAAAAAATAGATCAACAAATCTGATCCATAAAACAGTGTGAACAAAAGAAAAATTTAAAAAAAATAGAATTAAACTTAATTTTGTGAAATGATAAATAAACTACTACTGAAAAAATCGATACTAAAATAAACGAAAACAAAAAAAACACACACACTATGACAAAGAATTAGATTAAGAAAACACATGAACAAAAGAAATTGATACTATGATTGTATTATTATTTATTAGGTCAACTCTATACTGTTATTGTTTCATTGGATTGAATACAGAATGATGATGAGAAAAAAAAATACACACACACACATTTAAGAACAATTTGGTGCGATTCGAGTATTTGCCCACGTGCATCCGTGCAAATGAAGCAAAACGAACGAAAAGCACAAGGAAAGCAGATTTAGTCTAAATATAAATATTATATGTATATCATTTACTCTTTTGTATTGGCTCTAAGAGTTTTCGATGTTAGGCTAACTATTATTATTATTATTATTACTATTATTATGATTATTATTGTATTATACAACTTACAAAGAAAATATTAAACAAAAAAAAATGGGATTTAAAAAGAAAACAATGAAATATGATATGAGAAAATTAAGGATATTAAAAAACACATTTAAGAGAAGAAAACACGGGAACCAGTCGACGCATTGACAACGAACTGTGTTCATCAAAGTGCATCTGATTCGTGTGTGGTGCTGAGAATTGTGATTATGACGATGATTTTGGCACGTTAAACTGATGAAATATTCTTACTTATTAAAACAAACATAAATGTGTTCGTTGTGCGTCGAAATAGAAAATCGCACGCCAACACACCCAATTTTAGTTGAAATATAATTATTTATAAATATAGTAATTAAAATGAGAGAAATTAAATAGGAGCGACAGCAGAAACACATACACACACTCACAAACACACACACACAAACTAAGTAAATTTATCAAAAACAAAAAAAAATAATGAACACAAATATAGAATGAACGAGAATCTTTTCCTGCAAATGACGATGAACAGACCACAAATTTTACTTAATCAATCAATCAATCAAATTGATCCATATTATATATATACACCAAGTGAGCGAACGAAAGAGATACACACTCAATAAAAGAAAGTAAACGAGAAAATCCAGATTTAAATTTAAAATTAAAAAAAAATTATGTTTTAATAAATGTGTAACATATTTTACGTCGTGTTTCTTCAGAAAATCCAAACAAAAAAAAATACATTTAAAATACAACAAGAATCAATCCAAGTAAAAACTGAACAAAAAAAGCTCTAATATTCAAAATAACCGAACATATTCAAAGTTGAATTAAACACTGATTATTTAGGATACGTACTAAATCTATACAAAAAAAAAGGATGGTGAACTAGAGTGAATGTAGATGAGAGAATGAGCTCGGAAAATAAAGAAAAGAGAGACAGCGAGAGCGAGATTGTCATGTGTGTGAGCGAGCGAGAGAGAGAGAGAGAGAAATATGAATACAAGTTAAAAGAAACACAAAAGATTAGTTTCGACGTACATATTTAATAATTAAATACATTTAATGGATTTAAAATGCAGATTTTTAATAGTTCCACAATCGATCATGGAAGAATACACATAATGCGACAACGACTATTGATATTACTAATATTGTTTGAAGAACTCACACTTAATCTTTGCACCACGGCAATGTTTCAAAAACAAACAGAATATAAAGTACATTTGCTTTGATTCAACACTCACACCCCCCCAAACACATTCTATTTCGATCCAAGTGCGACCAACCCATTTAGCAATCAACCCAATTCTTCTTCTTCGTCTTCATCACCTGAATCATTATCACCTTTGACATTATTTCAAAATAAATTTTAAAGATTCAGAAGACCACACCAACGATCTCACTAAATCTATGCAATCAACATTTGGGTTGAGACATTTTGAAAATGGATTTTATCGTCGAACAATAATCTACCATTGATTTATCCAATATCAATTGCTGAAAAACGCACATTGCACAACCACTCTTCTCCTCAACAGCAACTTCAGTTTTACTGTATGCAATCAATCCGATGATCGAACAAATTGAGAGAGAAATTCACTGTTGAAATGTTCGTTATCTTAACGAGAGTATAAGATTTTTGCTTCACAAATATTTGAACAAAAGTCATACTATTCATTAGGAATGTCTTTAAAATTAAACTGAAAAAAAGCAACAACCAACAAATTATTATTCATTTTCGACGATAAAGTTTACTGTAAATAACCAACTAAAAACAAAAAAACAAAATATTTTGACGTAAAAATGGAAAAAAATAAAATAAAATTTAACAAATAAATGAAGAAGAACTATTAAACAGAAACTGAAAATAAAAAAAATCGTACATCGACATCTTTTGATATAAATAATATATTATACACAATGATAAATTAAATACGCAACTAAAATGTTAGAAATAATTAGATTATTTTCGTATCAGAAGTTTTTCAAGTCATAATTATTATAAACTGTATACAAAACACATACACACACACACATTCACATACACACTGACACAATGATTTCACTTTCTCTCTTAAAACATACATAAAACACTTGCAAATAGCGAAACATTTTAATTGAACTACAGCTAATATGCAGCAAATGAAAAGGAATGTGACGAAAATATGGAGAATACGCAATCTGGCGCCTCCAGTCGTGTTTAGTCGAACTATTCTATTTTTCTTTGGAAAAAAATTGATTTTTCGTTTCGTTTACATTTGATTGATTGACAAATGAATTTTCGGATTTGAAATGTGGTTTTTTATTAAATGCAACAGAAACCAATTGGCATTGGTGCATATTGGGCACTTCCACATCAATTCAAATCTCATGCACATGTCATATCAATTAAAATCGGATGGTATGCACCCTCAGCGAAAGCAATTGTAACATCTCGCACACGATGGAATTGGACAGTAAACATAATTTTTGAAAAATTAATTGTTAAAATTTGAACAAACGAAATAGTTTTCGTTGTTTTTTTTTTGTTGAATAATTTTTTGTGATTTGAGTTCGGACTTTGTTCGGTTCGAACGCAAATGGTAAAAATTCTTGGTGTCCGAATGTATTTTGATGAATAACACATTGCCGTGACAATAATTGTTTGATTTTTTTTGTTTTTATTTCGCTCGTGCGGCGAACTCAATTAAAACGTTTCAACAATCGAATAAAACGATTCACAGCGACAATAATATGAGATTCACTGTGACAACAATAAAATCAAATTCACCAAACAAAAAAATATCCCTAAATCGACATGTTCATCAATCATATCATCGTGCTTTCTAAAATCAAAAAATAGTGTTCACAAACACACACGGCATTCATATGAAGTTTGAAATTTTCCAACATTTCTTCGTGCATCACATGTGACAAAATTGCATTGTGCATTGATGAGTGAGAAGCGCACCAAATGAACGTTGAACATAGTTAGTATCCTTTAACGAATATTTTTTTAGAACCCAGTAGGTGTATCTCTCTCACAACCTCCCAACACACATACACAAAAACACACCACACCGTACCACAAAAACCATGAACAGAATTATTGACAATGTTCTGACCGTACTATATATAAATATTCTACAAACAGTTCGTTTTCACACAAAACACACAATTTCACACCAAACATACCCACACACCATGTGCATGATTTTTCAATCCGTAAACGATTTTTCCAATTTTTTTTAGATTGAACTTAGAAATAAAGATCTTCTCATTTAAAACAAAATAAAATATAACAACGGATTTGAAAAGAAACAACTGTTTAAAAAAATTCCAGCCACTGAACAAATTGAAAATTAAAAGTACTCGGGCGCATACATCATGCGACAATATATTCGATCGAAAAAGTAAAATATTTTCGATTTCATGAAATTTAGATGCATTAATGTAATTCATAATGTCAATATATACATTTTAGTCACAAAACAACCAGCCAGTCAGACTTTTTTTTCTCGGTATTTCAATTAATTGATATCGTTCTGTTTTTTTTTTTTAATTACAAATAGTTCGTTCAAATTTGATCAATCAATGTTCATGATCATTTAAACAATTTGTGTTTACAAAAGCAAAAGTGATTGGCAACAAATCGAAATGGAATAATTCAATCATCGAATAATAAATATTCGAGTTTTATGACCGACCGTGTTGATGGATTCAAAACCACTTAATCACTTTAATGTCAAAATGAAACAAGTTTCATTGTGATTTGGTGCAATTCAAATCGACAGTTCGCATTTTCACGTCGAATTTTGTTGATGTGTTTC